AAACAATCCCATCAGTAAGAGATATGTTACCAAATATTGTACATAAAGGTATATTCTAATCTATTAACCAAAAAGAAAAAAAAATTAAAGAGTAAGGTTAGTAGCCATATTTTGTAAGTATTGGTCCAGTTAAGATGAGTCGTATGCATCCACCAGTCGAGCAATTTGTTCGTCCAATCTGCGGTAGCAGGCTTTTTTCGTCTTAATATCGTGACCTTGCAGAATTTTTGCGATGTCAACTTCAAATTTTGATTGTTCACGACGATTTTTTTCTGTTAATTTCACGATATTCGGATGACTTGTTGCAGCACTGTTGGCAAATGCATTATGCCAGCCTTCTACCGAGGTACACCAGCGACTACACAATCATGAATATTCCATAATTTGGGATCAAATTGTGGTTTCTTCCGACCAGTTCCTAAAAATATCAGATATATTTAAAATTTCTCAAGAATGAGGATAAATTACCTCTTCTTCTTCGTTCACCAATCCATGTTTTTTCAAAGTAATCGTGTAGATCGCCGGAGTCATCGTCGAATTGATTGGCAATTAAGTCGAACGCAGTTGTAACTTCATCTACCGGGACAAAGGCAAGAGCAATCAATTTTTTTTACATTTAAACAAAAGGACTCATCTTCTTTGTATTTTGTTGCCAATCCTTTGTTTTGTACTTGTCGCTATACTGCTTGTAAAAAGTGAAAGAGGCATCCTATAAAAAATATTTAAAATATTTTTTTTCTTTTTGGTTAATAGATTAGAATATACCTTTATGTACAATATTTGGTAACATATCTCTGACTGATTGGATTGTGTCAGTTTCGAAATCAGTCATAATTGATTCAGGTTGAAAAATTGTCTTGTTGAACTAATTTTTCGAAGAATTGATTGTAATCGTCGTTGCTTTTACCAATTAACAATCCATAGACGAGAGGGATAATTGCATTCGTCATCATTGCATGTAATGTAAAAAGTTGATAATAACCATCCGGACACACCTACATCAAAGAAAATAAGAAAAAAAAGATAAACATTAATTAGTCACTCACTTTAAATGTTCCATCTGCGAACCAATGCTTGCTTTGTTTTAAAATTGATAAGTTATTTTTCGTTGTAAAAAGAATTAAACGCTCGTCTTCGTGTAAAATGAATTCTTCATCCCGATATGTCTTTCTTAATTTATCTGGCAAACAACCATTTTCATTGAGTGCTTCATCAATACGCTATCGTCGAATTGTGAGCATAAGTGCGTCACCACTTGGAAGTTCACCAGCAGCACTTAGCGGATAAGTACGTATGGCCGAATTAAGAATTGAACTGGATGGTTCATCTGTCATCGCGGTACGAGCTTTAATTTCGTTTTTCAATTGGATAGCTGGAATACAATCAGGATGAGGGGCATGGGAATGTGATGTCGGTTGAGAAAGGAATGCGTCCATGGATAAATTGGTGTGACAACGTGCTTAATTGATAAACAATTTTCATTTTAATTGATTCATTTATGATATTTAAAGTGAATTTACCTTTACAATCACGATTCTAACATCGAAAAATTAATTTTGTCGTTGTGGTACGTTCTACAGTGTAAATATAACTTTCGTGGAGGAGCGTTGGTTTTCCTTTTTCAGAAAGGAGCTTTAGCATTTGAGGCATTTTGTAAGTATTGTATACAATAAAAGTTCAAATTGAAAAGTGAGATATATTTTCAACGTAATCAATATTTATTTTTATACCTCCTGACCACGTAATTGAGAACATTGGATTAGTGAGATTTTTAGCACAGATTATGTCGAAGTTCGTTAAATAATTGAAAAAAATCTAATTATTCCCCGAACACTCTAATTCTATCATGAGTTCAGGTTTTTTTGAACATGTTCTGTTGATCCGTTTTTCCAATTAAAGTAGTGATCTTTAGTATGTCTTCCACTTGTTTTTCATTTTTTTATTCAAATTCGTTATACAGAAAAATTAATTATGAGAATTTTCAACGTGTTACTTGGAACAATATTGAGCTGCGATGAACAGAACGAAAGAAATCATTCTGCGACGAATTGTCGTGCGACGAATTGTACTAGTACCCATATGTCAATAATCTGGAGAAAGCATACATTATCGTAAAAGGTGGAATGTCGCTAAACAATACGAAATATTAATCACAATAATATAGAGAACGCAACTTCAGAAGCTATCAGCTGATTATATTCATAAATCATGAGTTACGTCATAGATGATATCCATTACATTTTCTTCTTTTTCATGTACATCGTTTTCGACAGAAATTTCTTTTCATCAATAATTAAGAAGCAAACATAATTCAATCAGATGTTCCTATTGATAGATCTGCATTTCCACCAAACTTTATGTCATTAGGTGATGATAAATTTATTAATTTCGTTAAAGAAGAGGTCATTTATGCTGCTGCTACTGCTGCTCTACTTGAAGTATAAGGTATTAACTGTGTGAAGTCGCTGCTGATGACAGATAATGTTTTCTCTAATATGGACTTGAAAAGTAAAAGTTTAAATGATTTTAAAAACAAATATAGTTATACGCTAGACGATGGTACATTTGTTATACAACCTGGCATAGAAGGAAATGTGCAATATCTTATTGATTTGTTGAAGAAAAAACGTACTGAAGATGCAAAATAGGCTAAATTATCGAACCGTCATCAACTATTACCATCACGAGATAAAATCACGGATACCTCATCAAAAATAAGAGTGTGGGTGTGTGTGTGTGTGTGGGGTGTGTGGGGTGTGTAGGGTGTGAGTTTGGGTGTGGGTGTGGGTATCGGTGTCGGCGCCGGTGTGGGTGTATGTGTGAGTGTGGGTAGGGTGCGGGTGTGGACATTGTC